ATTGGTGCTTTAATTGAGAGTTCCTCTATGCTGTCATCGATAGGCTCGATGGCTCCTTCAATCATCAACAATGACGCGGTCCAGGGTGAGACTTTTCTCCCCGGACAGATCTTCGTGTTCGGCGGCTTTACACTGCGGGCCAATTCGGATGGCCATCTGGAGCAGATCGAAAGCTACGCCCCTGGCCGTCAGGTCAGGTTCGGAAGTCTTGACTTCACGGCTGACATCCGTGGAGACTTGATCTTCAACGGATTCGAGCCACAGCTGGACTACGCCTTACCGCAAAGGGCTCCGTCACCACCTGTACTTACCGCATGGACACAGATGGTCGCACACACTTAAACTCGGTTGGGTGGAAGAGATTCCTCGTTGGCAAGAATCTTCGTGTTGGACAGGCCATCCTAATTACTATCAGGAACACCCACCGCCCAGGCTTGAGGATGATGATCGTCGTCGATATCATGTAGAACTACATATGATGATCGTCGTCGATATCATCTAGAACTAAATATGATGATCGTAGTCGATGTCACCTTGTACTGCTTGAGGATGCATGTTGAGTATATATGAAATTGTAATCTAGTACTTCCTCGGTTCCAAATTACTCGTCGTGGTTTTAGTTCAAATTTGAACTAAAACCACGACGGGTAATTTGGAACCGAGGGAGTACTACCTAGTACCTATAATGCTTTATGAAATTGATATCTAGTAGAACTAGTATCTGAAAATTGCAGTCTACTGAAGCCGGAATGGGGAAATGGTGGAAGATATAACAGTAGCGCGGGAGCAGGAAATCGCTACAGCTAACTAATAGTAGCGTGTTTGGGAAATGCGCTGCTGATATAGTCAATAGTAGTAGCGCGGGTACAGATAGCGCTACTACTAACGGTTAGCTGTAGCGCCTTATTCGTAGAGCGGGTGCCCGCGCTGCTGATAGCCTCAAAACCCGCGCTACTACTAGGGTTTTCCCTAGTAGTGCGGGGTTGTGCCTGCCTCCTCATTTGGTGGCTGCACGATGACCTTCATGACAGGTTTCTTCGATCACACTCTCCTACGATGGCGTAACCAGGTGGATTATTAATTGAAGCACATAAATCCCGTTTCATTAGCATAATCAGGCATGAATGTCCCTTCTTTAGGCTGGTTTATTCTCTATGATTATTCCAGTGCTCAAGTGCCCACAATTTTGCTCTAATTAAAGTCAAACAACATATTCTCTTTTATTGGCACGTGCCTACGATTTCTTTCATTTATAGTCAACCAACATAGAACGAACGCGCATCGCTAACCAATGGCTAGCGCGAATATTTAAGAAATTACCATAGCGCTAGATCAGAAATATATTTTTGTTTTTTAAACATTCAAAACAATATGAATTGGCGAATATTCTTCAAAACATGAACAATTTTTTAAATCCCGAACAATTTGAACAAATGCAAACTTTTTTTTGGGAATTCCAATATTTTGGAAAAACAAAACAAAATTAGAAATATGAATCTATACCTAATATTAAAGGACGCAAGCTTCTATAGTTCTCCATACGTCATCATTTTATATCCGTTGATTTTGTGTTAATCATGAAGATTGACAGCTGAGATTTTTTTTCTACTGTGATCCACAATCCACAATACCCATTCTTAAATTATGTGCCAGGGCGACAGGAGAAAGCAAACTCAACTGACGAGAGGTTGGGCCATGTCCACGCTGTGGCCTGTCACATATCCTGATTATTTTCTCAAAACTGGTCCGCGACTAAAAACTCGAATCTGGAAATGCACAACAGACACATCTTTTAAGGAGGGTCTGCACTTGAGGAGTAGTGAACTGGTAATCAATGAACAGGCAAAGGGAGTCGTGGTTCTAGCTAATTTGTTTTTCAGCCTCCAGCAGGCAAGGTTTTTTTTAGCGGGTTCCAGCAGGCTAGGTATGACCCAAGATTTATGGTATGACAGATCTTTGTGGTGTTACAATCGGCAATGGATTCAAATTTTGTTATGTAGATTGGTAATGCTAAGTTTGAATTTTCTTATTTTTGGATCATTATTTCTTATTCCAAAAGCAGATGTGTGGATGTTTGTTAAATTTTCGGAGGAAAATAAGCCTACTGAATACACATTAAAAAAATGACTGATTCGGGAATTTGGATGTTACGTACCATGGTCATGCATGAATGTAGTTGTTGAGAACCTCATCTTATCAGTCCTTCATAAATAATCCCAGCCTCCCAGTTGTCTATTTAGCTCATTACAAGAGGATTATCATGGGGCTAATGGAGGTAAATCAAAGTTCAATGTTGAACCTTTGGTACCTGGAGCTCTATCGACTATTGTAGAAGTAACCAACCCTAGAGGCACCAAACCAGTCCTCCTCAGCTAGCTTTAGATTTTCGTTCTGCATAATTAAGATGGCAAGATTGCAGTCATACAATACTAGATTAGCTACCTAATTTTAATGCCATTACAATGTTATTATAGATAGCTTCCTTATCATATATTGATCCATGTTTTTAAACCAGCAACTGTATTGGATTAACCCAACACATTTCACTGGGCTGACAAAGTTGAGTTGCTGCTGCACCCCGGCATGTCGCTGTTGGACGAGTTCCTGTCATCATGATTGTGGTCTTCGAAATATAAAATAAATAAAGACACTGGTTGAACAATTTTAGTATTTTATACTAATAATATTATTTAGACAAATTTTTCCATCTCGTTCCAACGCACGGGCATATTTGCTAGTAGTTTTTTAAATTCACAAAAAATATTTTGAAAACCTGAGAATTTTATAAAAGCATAAATATTTTTGATTTTTTCGATTTTTTTAATGGGGGACATTGAAAAGAATTTTAGAAAATGAATTAATTCTTAGACGCGAGCATTATTTTTGGATTTGTGAACATTTCAAAAGGAATATTTTCAAATATGGAACATTTTATAAAACTTAATTTTTATAAAACAAATTTCAAAGAATATTTGAAGAACAAAAACCTTTTTCTAAACATGAGAACTTTTCTTAAAATGGAGAACATTTTGTGAATACCGAGAAAATTTAACACGGGGATTTTTTTAAATTTTGAACATTTTTCAAAACAGGAACAAAGTTTTGGAATTCTGACCATTTTTTGAATATTTGAAAAAAAAATCTGAATATTTTTGTGAATTTTTAAGTCACAAAATTAAAAAATAAGGAAAAAAGAAAAAAATATATAAAAGAGAAAGAGAAAGGAACAGAAAAAAGAAAAATAGAAATGGAAATGGAAAAACAAAAAGGGGAAACGGGCCGGCCTAGTCTTAGGCGCCCTGTGGGAAGCTTCAACTGTTTATCGCTCATTGCGAAAAATAAGGTCTTTACAAATGCGTGGGCAATAATAATTGGGTTTGCTTCGTTGGGCCGGACAGCGCACGCAGACCAATTGCGAAATTCTAGGGAAACATTTTTAAGTTCTAGCGGATAGACGCACAAAAGTTTAGTACCACCTTAGATATATTAAAGAAATTCAACGGTGAACAGATGAAAAAATTGAAAAAATGCACCTTACTTTATTAGTAGGTATAGATATAGATATAGATATAGATATCAATAAACTGAATGATCATATGCTAAGTTAACGGATGTGTCTTGTCCATTACATCATTCTCCTAATGATGTGATCCCGTTATCAAGTGACAACATATGTCTATGGTTAGGAAACCTTAACCATCTTTGATCAATGAGCTAGTCTAATAGAGGCTTACTGGGGACATGGTATTTGTTTATGTATCCACACATGTATTTAAGTTTCCGATCAATACAATTCTAGCATGAATAATAAACCTTTTATCGTGAACAAGGAAATGTAATAATAACAACTTTAATATTGTCTTTAGGGCATATTTCCATCGGTAACAGCCGAGCCGCTGCGCACACGTTCATTTATAAAATGGCGGGGGCAGATGAAGGTGAAGGGGCATGAGTATAAGCTGAGTGCTTTCTTTTGGGTACACGGTTTACATGTAAGCGGAGTATGCCATTAGACAACACTCGGCTTATAGCGCCCACCATCACGGGGCCATCAAGTGGTGAGGATGGCCACGTGACAAGTGCTTTGCCGAGTCTCGGGTGTAGGCCAAATGGTTTTTGCGAAATATGCAGAGTTTTCTTTATATGCCAAGTGTTTTTTGAGCTGTACTCGGCTTATTCTGGTCTACGCCGAGGGCCCTGTGCTTGCCGTGTGTTTCTTTGCGTGGTACCGAGAAATAGCATTTGGCTTATGCCCAAACAATAGACAACGCATATTTTTCCCGTAGTGTTTACAGTGCTTTCTTGTGCATGTAATTACCTTGTAGTCGTGTTGTAATTGTTTGCATTTGCAACTAAGTGAGAATTAGGCCTCTTTAGTCTTGACTCAATGTAAATCGTGTGTAATACTGTTCTACGGTTAGTGTAAGTTGATCATTTGCATATGGCTATCAGCTTGCTATTGGCTGTAAATTTTGAATAAAAACTAATTTATTTTCAGACGAACGTGAAATAGACAATCTCAAACTTTAAACCACCAGTATAAATTCATAAGGTAACCATGAATATATACACATAGAAATGCTGGCTGACATATGCTTTTATTATACTAGACAGACTGAAGAATCAAACCGCAAGTAACCATGATCGAAGCCGTCGTCTTGAGAGGAAAGGGAATCATCACTCTACAAAAAGCAAACTCGAACGACACGACAAACCCATACATGCTCCTGTGGAATCTTAGCTTGCAGGACGATCGATGATGAATCCACGGCTACTGGATGCCGCATTCTCCTCTGAGTCCGCGTAACCTCCCCTTGTTGCAGCCGTGTCCCAGTGGTGGCTTGCGCACGACGCAGCCGTAGATGTAGAAGCGGCAGCTGGGCAGGCCACAGGGGCTGGAGTCGCAGCCCGGCGTGCAGCGGGACGGGTAGCAGGACGGCGTCACCTTCTTGCAGCACGCCTCATTGCAAGCCATGTCGCACTTCTTCTTGCAGCACGCCTCATTGCAAGTAGCCATCTCGCACTTCTTCTTGCAGCACGCCTCGTTGCAAGTAATCACCACGCACTTCTTCTTGCAGCACGCCTCATTGCAAGTAGCCATCTCGCACTTCTTCTTGCAGCACGCCTCCTTGCAAGCCATCTCGCACTTGTCCTTGCAGGCCTTCTCGCAGGCCTCCAGGCAGGGGTCCTTCTTCTCTGGCTCCTTTGGCTTGTCGTCTGCGACGCTGATGATAACTGCAGCGAAGCACGACTTCCTGAGACACTGCAGGAGCCGCACCGGATCGACGGTGCCGACCACCGTCAGCGTGCACTTGTCCTGGTCAATGTCCATCGACTTGATCCCTGAAAATTAGTACAGTACATTTTTGTAAACAAGAGTGCAGAGGGGTGCGAGATAGATAGAGGTTGGATTGTGAGGGAGAGAGGTACCCTACCCTTGAGCTTGGCAGCAGTTGACAGGATCTTGCTCTTGCACTTGTCGCCGATGAGATCAGCTCTGATCAGGATCTTCTGCAGGTCATTCACAAGTGAAAACACGAGTGTTCACTATGAGTGTACACCTTTAAATTTGTTCGACGGAACCCCGGCCCCAAAGACATAAGCAAAACGAAAGAACATGCATGATGGCTAATTACCTTGGACATTGTGAGCTAGCCGTGAACCTATGACACCCTTCGACTTTGGGGCGCAGACTCTTGCGTGTGCAGTCCTGAAGTTCTTATGGAGACCCTGTCTGCTTCCAAGCCGTTTATATAAGGTGTGGCAGTCAACTCAGCAACAGCCATGTTAGGTCACACTCACACGTAGGAGCATACTTCTACTACTACTTGCGTTTAAGCTAATATGGTTGTACACTACTACCGTCTACCGGCCGGTCAGTACAGTACAACGAACTCCTTTCTTAATACAAGATGTTTATTTGTTTGTGGTTCATCTGTACGTCCAAGTGTCAAAGTCACTGACTGGTTTAACAAGTCCCAACGCGCAAGTTGTATACAGTGGCAACGCAAAAATCAAATCAATTCATATGTCAATGCACCATTGGCTAGGACTTTGTCATGCTAATCTTTGCACTTCCACTGGTTGAAAGATTATTTTCTTAATAGTTGTTGCGCTACAAAAACTCAATTTTACAAAATATGAAAACTAAATGCATATCTCTATCGTATTTTAACAAAGATTCAGTTTCACCAATTTGGCACACACGTTTCAAATGTTCAACTATCTTTTGGGCTGTGGAACCTAAAGCCATACTTTTACAGATACCTGTGCCAGTTGTTGGTTGATGTTCCATGGGTTCACTGATCCTCTGCTGAAACACATATGGAAACTAAAACATAATAATAAGATAAAGAGTATTCGATACGCGCCATGTCTTCTCAAAGCGTGCCGTGGAGGGTTACGGTCACAGTGGTCATCGGTCTCCATCGAGCTTGACTAGCATATGTATGCTAGTTAGTTTTAAGGTTCAGCGACTATTTTAATCGGATTTTGCTCCATAGAGAGAGGGGATACATGCATGCAGAATCTTTCACGTCATGCTAACATCATCGGCTTTAGTTTCTAAACTTAAATTTTATAAATGATATGTCTTTACTGATGAGTTCGTCTCAACGAGAGCTTTAACACAAGATATAATGTTAGGTTATGTCATCATGGTTGTCATGTTGCAAGTGAACAACTACCACGATAACAATATCTAGTTGTTATACATAAAGTAGTTTCCCGATAAGAAACTGGAATTAATAATTGAAGTCAGTGGTGGGTAACTTTATTAAATCAATGGATAGTTACATCATCCACCAGCCACCTAAAAATCGATAACGGCGGCTCCTCTATCCACGTTGCCATGGCATCGAGACCACTAGCCTAACTAATTCATGAGAGACTACATTCGTCTCCCTTGGGCAGTGAACGAAAGAAACTGAAGTATATCCTGGAAAGACGATATTAATATCAGCATAAATGGTGGCTGCTCCTAAAACTGTGAAGCCTCCTCCTTGCATCGTGTTGATCACCACCATATAGTCTGATTCCACAATCAAATGTCGTATCCTGAACTATTGCGCTACAAGTAGTCCATGCGTGAGTGCATAGGCCTTCGCCATTGCCGCATCCACCACATGCTCAAGACGGTCATTTGATGCAGCGATAAATCCACCTTTATCATCACGAAGAATTGCACCGATAGCACCTTGAAAATCACTTGGGTGGAACGCCGCGTCAACGGTGAGTTTCACACAGTCTTCCGCTGGTTCCACCCATCTCCAATTGTGAGTACCCGTGTTTTTTCGTGTTTTTTTGCCTCGACTTCCAGTAATTCAAAGCTAAAGCACTAATAGACAATGTGGATCGTGACGGGACCTGCACATCCTCCCCATGAACAGATTGCCTTCTTTCCCACCAAATATACTAAATTCCTACCAAGATCAATAACTGGGCACTTGATCCCGGAATCAAACTTGATCAAGCAGATTCACATAAAATATAGTCCAGTGCAGCCGGACCCGCTCGGTCAACAGCAAAAGCCTCTTCAACGAATCCATCTAGTTTCAAGCACTGCCATATATCTGCTGCCCTTGGACACTTAAACATTGCTTGCAATGTGGCGATTCGCCAGTACACCCATACACGGAATAAATCCATGTAGGGCCTTCCACGCATGAACTTTTATCTTGGCCGGAACATGAGCACTACAAAGCTTCGTCCAAATTGGATGCCATTGTGATGGTTCTCCTTCAGAATGCAGGTACCAACATCCGAACTAATGCTCCGATTTGACGTGCTACGCCAACCTCACCGTGAACAAATGATGCTTAGTAAATCTCTAGGCAACAAAGTCCTCAATCGTGCCATGAGGTGCTAATGGGACCGCACTACAAAAAAGACATCATCAACTAACTGTTGATCCCATAGCCCTATCCCTGGTTTAATGAGTTTAGATACCTTCGAAAGCAAAGTTCCACCTCTAGATTACATGTCCTACAGCGATCGCCGAGATCCATGGATCGGTCCAAATATTTACCTGAGTACCAACCCCAATATGCCATATTGCACCTCTCTTAAAGGTCTGGATTCCAGCACAGATACTTTGCCAAGTATATGAACTGCCATTCTTCATTTGGGCTTCGAAAAGCCTCGCATACAGATATTAATTGGCCCACAAAAATTTTGCACATAATGAATCAAGGTTCTCCAGGAGGTGCCATACTTGCTTAGCCAACATTGCTAAATTAAAGCTATGTAAATCTCTGAATCCAAGTCCTACTCTCTCCTTTCGAACACATAATTTCCACCAAGCCGCCCAATGCATACTCTTGTGGTTGTCATCATCACCCCACTAGTACTTAGATATTCCATCTTTAATCCCTTCAAAATTGTTTTTGGGATTTTGAATATCGACATTGCAAACACCGGAATGGCTTGAACAACTGATTTGATCAATGTTTCATTTCCTCTTGTCGACAATAGCTTCTCTTTTCATCCACTCACCAACTAATTGATGTGGTCAATTAGATACTCAAAGCAATCACTTGTGTCTAGTTCCACTAAAGCTGGAAGTCTGAGGTATTTAAAATTCAATGATTATGTAATTATCCCAATATTTTGGCACACAACTACGTTGTCATGTACAGAAATATTCAGGCTAAACAATATACTTGACTTCGCAGCACTTACCAGCTGCCCCGAGATAGTATAGTAGTCATCCAGAACGCTTGACAAACATTCAGCCTCGGCCGCTCACCTGCCTTCATAAGGATCAAAGAGTCATCTACAAATAGCAAATGTGATATCTAAGGGGCCTCGCGACATACTCTTACCCCTAATAAGCTGCCATTCTTTTCTTCCTGTTGTAACATGCTTGACAAGGCCTTCACACATAACAGGAAGAGGCACGGAGACAACGAATCTCCTTGCCTCAGACCCCTCATCAGGGTGAAAAGCTCCGTGTCAGCCGAGTTGAATCTTACACTATATGATACCGAAGCGACATATGCCATGACCATAGATATCCACATGTCTACAAAACCCAGGCTCTCCATCATATGACGAAGAAAGCACCATTCAACTCGATCGTATGCTTTGTGCATGTCCAGTTTGACTGCACATAGACCCATCTTCCCTTTCTTCCTCACGATGGTATTCACACATTCATACACAATCAGAATATTATCCATAATTAGCCTACCTGGCACAAATGCACTCTGCGTGGGGCCAATGATATCCGGGAGAAACACCTTTAGTCGTGGCACGAGCATTTTTTAGATGATCTTGTAGGCCACATTGCAAAGGTTGATTGGCATGAACTGCATAATATTTGTTGGCCCATTAACCTTGGGGGTCAAAACTATCATGGTGTTATTCCAACCATTCGGGATACACCCGACGTTAATAGCATCCAGCACGTCCTTTACCAGATCATCCCCGATCACATTCTAGAAACGCTTACAGAAAGTAGCATGCAAACCGTCAGGGCCAGGAGCTTTGCAATCACCAATGCTGAAAACCGCTCGGTGCACATCTTCTTCTGAAAATGGTGCCAAGAGACTATTATTCATCTATGTGGTAACTCTTGGTATAACCTTCTCAATTATTGTTTCATCTGGTATATCCACGTGCGAGGTAAACAAGTTAGAGAAATAATTCTCGATAATATTCCCCCTCTCCTAATGACCCTCCTGCATTACGCCATTTTCATCTTCCAGAGCTTTTATAGTGTTCTTTTTCTTTTGGGTTAAAGAAAAATTATGGAAAAGCTTTTGTTTTGATCCCCTTGTTTTAGCCAGTCCACTCAGCCTCTCTGGAGCCATTCAATCTCCTCTTGTTCCATTAAGTTCTCAAGAACTAGCAAAATTTCCTTTTGTCTCGCCAAGACTGCATCCTTGGGTGGACCCCTTCTAAGTCTTCAAGCTCGGCTTTAGGGTCGCTATCCCCTTTTGCAGCCGTTTCATAAACTTCTTTATCCCATTGGTGCAACTCTGCATGTACCGAATCAAGCTTCCATTTAATAGGCCCAATTCCTTAAAATGAAGCTCGCTGCCATGCAGTCTGGACCACCTCTATTGTTTCTTCCTGTAACCACCTAGCTTCAAATCTCCTTCCGCTCCTCCCATCTGGTGCACCTCCACATAGTACTTGGTATCAATGACCATCAGCCTATGATCTAACTTTGTCATTTCACCATTAATCACTCCCATATGGGAAACAATTAATTCCATCAAAGCATTGCAGACCGCTCTATCCAACCTCTCATTTATCCTCCCTCTACTGCAGGTAAAAGGGTCACCCGATACGCCTAAGTCCTCTAGAGTACAGTCAGACAGAGCTTCCCGGAACGCTTACATGCAATGTTGATCCGGTTGTGCTCCTCCCACTTTCTCATAGCTAAATAAAATTTCATTAATTAAAATCACCGAAGGCTAGCTACGGTTGATCCATTGCATGGTGCTTATTTTCTCTTGCTGGATCCCCATAGTACCCAGTAGATCTCCACTTCAGCCCATCAGTGATAGTAACATATATGTAATTACTCGTAACACTATGATTAGTTATGTTTATGTCATCTCTCCACATCAGAAGCAAACCCCCCGCCCTTCCATCACCCGGGTCAACCAGCCTCATCATCTGTAACCCTAGCTTTCAC